AGTTGAAGAAAATGCTTCTCACATGCAAAAGCGACGAAAGAGATCGAATAGTGACATGTTAGAAACGTTATCAAACATTATGAAGGAACCAATAAAAATAGATATATCATCACTACAAGAAAAAACAGTACGTCCACCTGAGCCTGTGCAATCACAAGACAATATAAGTAATATAATAATTGTAATAGGAAATCTATTACGTGATTTTCCAGATAATGAAGGATTTTCTTTTGCATTACAATTATTACAATTGACTTCTGAAAAAAGAAATCAATTATGTAAGAAATTATGAAGTGTTCCTTTACATTGTTTTTTTAACGAGTAATTATATAATTATATAATTGATAACATACAAAATTATATCCCAAGATTTATTCAAAATTATATGTTAATGTAAATATCTTTGTTTTTTTTACGAGTAATTATATAATTATATAATTGATTAACATACAAAATTATCCAAAGATTTATTTAAAATTATATGTTGATGTGAATACATTTGTTAGCTTGTAATTTGTTTATTCTTTGTGATAATGTGATAATATGATAAAGAACAGTTATGTTTAAAATATTTTAACAATTATATGAGTTAGTTTTATATAGATTTAAAAATATATTTGTTTTTTGTTTCTAACTAGACTAAAATAATAGTTTTCTTTTGTTGATCTAGAGAGAATGTTGTTTATGTGAGAACAACATTGTTTATAAGAAAACAAAAGAGAAAAGACTTATTTATAGCATATTTATAAACATACAACATTGTTTATAAGAAAACAAAAGAGAAAAGACTTGTTTATAGCATATTTATAAACATACAACATTGTTTATGAGAAAACAAAAGAGAAAAGATTTACTTATTTATAGTATATTTTTAAACATATTTATAAACATTTGTTATATTAGTACACAGTCAAGAAACTACAATTATAAGAAAAAAAAATAATATCTCAATAAAAACATTTTATTTCTATATGTGTGTATTTTACTACAAGTAATGATAAAATAATTTTCGTGAAAATCCTTATAAATTCTTTTTTTTAATAGTAAGCAACACTTTATTTTATTTCTAATGATATTTTATGGCAAAATAATTAAACGTAATCTAAAAATGAAGTGTGCTCTTGACAGTGTATTCTTTTAAATAACATATAATCGGAGTCATTAATAATGCTGCTTTCTCATTTTTATAGTATACATTATGTTATTTACTATATTATATAAAAATGAGAAGGCATGACTTTGTACATATTGCAAAATATATTAATTTTATATCAACATTTCTTGCCATGGAATAGCACCTTCATTATTAAAATAATTAACANATCTGTTTCGTATGTTATATGCTTCCCGTGTATGAGTATTGCTTCCAATATTGCCTATATCTTTAAATATTGTAGTTTCATTGTCAGATAATGTTGGGATATCCATAGTTTCGGAAATGTAATTATCTTCGTCATTTTCACGAAGAAAATTGTGTAAGGCTATTGTTGCTTTTATTATATTTCTTGCTGTTTGTATCGATGTATTAATAGGTCGCTTATATATTCTCCATTGAGAAGAAAGAATTCCAAACGTGCATTCTACCATACGGCGCGCTCTACTAAGTCGGTAATTAAATATACGTTCTTCCTTAGTTAAACTTCCTTTTCCAGGAAACGGCCGCATTGTATAATTTGTCAATTGGAAAGCTTCATCAGCTACCAAGACATATGGCAAAATAGGTCCCTCAAAGACATGGTCTGGAGATGGTATATCCATTTCCTTTGCTTCGAATGCTTTACCAATAGTACATCTTGCCCATATGCCCCCATCACTTTCACGTCCTGCTGCTCCAATATCAACCAACAGAAACTTATAACTGCTATCACAAACAGCCATTAACACTATGCTATGAAAATTTTTATAATTATAATATGTAGATCCAGAGTTTGGTGGAGCCTACAATTATATTTTTAGATATGAAAATGTTTTAAAAAGAAATAACTAAAAGAAAATAATATAAAACTTAATAAAATGTAATGTTACTTGTATGGCTACATGTTTTCCATCTACAGCACCTAAACAATGTGGAAAATTACATTTTCTTTCAAAATTCTCTGCTATTTTTGTCCATTCATTACATGTAGGTATTTTGAGAATAATGGATACTAAAGTTGTCCATAATGCATTACATGTTTCTGCAATTATATTTGTTATTGTGGATTGATCAATGTAAAATTGATATTTTAATGACATCATTGAATCTCCAGATGCTAAGTATCTAAATGAGAAATTGCATAATCATTGAAAGAAAATAATCAATATGTTACAATTATTTTATTTGTTGTCAATATATTGTTATATTTATAAATATATTGTTATATTAAAAAAATATATTGTTATATTTATAAATATGTATTTATATTTATATATATATTGTTATATTTATACTTATTGATATACATTTTGTACCTTAATGTAAGCAGCAGACGTTGATCAGGTGGTATTGGCTCTCGACAAAGTATTTGCTTTCTAATTTTTGGTGCAATTAAAGTACATAACTCTTCAAATAATGTTGCACTCATCCGACAATAATTTCTAAATAAACTAGGATTTCTTAATAATGCTGGCATTGTTATATAATAAGCTCCATAAGTTTTTCGCTCACAAAGAAAATTTGATACCCAACATCTT